AAAGTTCAAGCCCATTGAAATTTTTATTTAAGCTAACTTATCAGCTAATTTTATCTAAAAAAAAATTATCAGATATCATATAAGTTATCTTTTCAACTATAAGTAGGGCTGCAAACGAGTCGAACATGGATCTTGTCGAGCCCGAGGTCGATTTTTTTTTTCATTGCTCAAGCTCGAGCTTGACGAGCCATGAAAATTACACTCGAGCTCGACTCGTGAAACAAATGGAAATGCTCCAGATCGACTCGACTTCGGCTCGAATTTTAACTCTATAAATTATGCACCTCTGACAATTTTGTGAACGACAATTTTATGACAATTATGCACCTACGACAATTTTGTGAACGACTTCGGCTCGTGAGCCTCTCTACTTGTTTACAGCCCGAGTCATAGGTCATAAGCTATCGCTATAAGCTCGAAATTCACTTATCAGCTAGATTTACCAACCATAGCCTAAGGTCGTAGCTTATTAGCATAGCCTAAAGCGTATGCAAGTGGCTGTGAAGACTTACGTTTCCCTAGCAATGATCTTTGCCCCAATGGCAGCTTGTATGGTAATCTCGAACATTTGCCTGTTTAACTAATGGAATCAACAAAAGCCAGCAAATATACTAATAAAACGAAAAATGAAAAAAGAAAATGCTAAATGAATCAGTGTACCTGTCTATGAACTTTTTAAGCTTATCCACGAGTTCACGGCCCACCCGTTGTGCTTTCAATCTGTGAACTATAGTCGCCATAGCATCCACAGGTTGACCATTTAATAAAATATCGAGTTTGACTAAATCCGAGGCCTGATAGCTGTTATTAAGATTAGTTAGCTATCGACATAGGTTTTGCATATTTGGAGAAGGTAAAGGAGAAAAAAAGATGGAGAATATTTACTCCGACTCCTCGTAATCAAATGATGCATATCCAGAAGTTATACTCTTCAACTCATTGTAAAAGTCCACAACAATTTCCCTCAATGGTAATCGATACTTCATGAGTACTCTTTGACTGGACGGACACAAGATTTATCATAATAATATATTTCAAAACCATTTATATATTATTTTCATTTTATTTTTCGGTCAAAACTTGAAAAAAAGGATAGTCACCTGTCAATGAATGAGTACTCTAGCTGCTCCCCTCGTCGTTCGGAGCAAAGGGTGATGATGGAGCCCACGTACCTTTAAGTAAAACCCAATTGCAGTAATATAATGAATGGCTTTCGGTAACTTGCAGTTTGCAGAAAAATAATATTTTAGATATATTTAATTTGGGGTATTGCAGAGATTGAGAGCTTACTCACTAGGGATTATAATAGTTGCTAATACAGTGGGTTCCCAGCATGTAGTTACTCGTTGTTTAGGATTTGAAGGCAGCATGGCAGGATTCTGAACATGTACTTTGCTATTATAAAAAGACATAAAATCACCAGTTGTCATTAAAGGTAATTTAAAAGAGAGAGAGAGAGAGAGAAGATGAAACTAAATGAATGGAATTAAGCGACAAACCTCCCATCTGCATATTCAAAGATGTAAGGGACTGTGGGAACAGTAGAAATCACATGAGCTCCATGTTCCTGTTTTTTAGAAAGTGAAAATACAGAGCAATAGAGTGAAAGTGTGAAACTCGACTAAAAAAAAATGTAAATGCATTTCACTGAAGGCATTTGAGGAAATAACATGCCGGCTGAAGAAAACTTCATGGTTCATGCTGATATTTCAATCTAAAAGCACATGAACTAAATAAATTCATATGACATCATTGTTTGCGTTTGTTATGGCTCCATAGCAACTCAAGGAACCTTGATCTTGTTATAATTTTTCATTAATGATATAGGCCAAACATAAGTCATTTGATCAAACACCATTCGCCAAAAATTTCCATAAAAGCATGAAACATATTAATTACGAAGGTCATAAAATGCTGCAAGATGGTCAAACATCAAGTGTTACTAAAAAATATTTAATATCCTTCCCTTTTTTCCATTAGAATATGAATCGGATGATGATGATGATGATGGTCAAACATCAAGTTTTACCGAAAAATTATTGTTGAAAAGTGGAAATGTGTTGTGAGTTTTGCTTTATGACAACAGCTATTACAAGATTTAAACAGAATAAACCTGTTCAAGCCGCTGATGAAAAACATCCATATGCAGTAAGCCCAAGAACCCACATCTGCCGTACATTAGAAACCATAAAAACACAACACACAAAACACTGAATTTCGCCAATAGGAACAAAGATAATCCTCACCTGAAGCCCAACCCAAGTGCCGTGCTACTCTCCTTCGTAACAGATACACTCGCATCATTGCAAGTGAGCTTCTCAATGGCATTACTAAGTGCTTCAAAGTCAGACCCATCAGCTGGGTAGAGCCCCGAAAAAACCATATGCTTCACCGGCTTGAAACCTTCCCACATCAAGAACCACAATAAAGTTTCGGGAAAGAAAAAAACAAAAGAAAAAAAAAAAGGAAATAGCACTAAATATTTTCGAAACACCATAAAGAATGCCAAAATTGCATTTTTAGTCGTGCTGGAAAAACGACACAACAATTTTAGTCCCAAGGTTCTAACATTTGTTTTTTGGTCCTGTAATTTAATATTTTGGTCCTTGGACTGAAATTGCAATAAATTCTCAAATTCTCAAATTTTCGATTAGCAATTTAAATCATGTATTTTAAAATTTTGTTGCAATTTCAATCATGTAACTTAAAATTCTGTTGCAATTTCAGTCTTTAAAAAGCACTGTGAAACTTCAGCAAAATATTAAATCACGGGATTAAAAGGCGAAAAGTTTGAATCTTGGGACTAAACTGCTATGACGACTGACGTTAAAACCAACAGGACTAAAATTGAATTTTCGCCATAAAGAATATTATCATTTTACCTGGAAGGGGATCCACACTACTTCGTGTTTGATACAAAGTATCCCCAACACGCGCTTCTTTAGTCGACCGCATGCCAGTTACGACATACCCGACCTGACCCGTCAAAAGGACACCTGTCTGTGTGAGCTCAGGGTGCATAATCCCAACATCCAAAACCTCGTACGACTGTCCAGTCGCAGCCGACGATATCTTCTCTCCTTTCCTTAAAGCCCCATCAACAACCGCCACGTGGCAGATCACACCTTTGTACTCGTCATAATACGAGTCGAGCAAAAGCATGCGTAAAGGCGAATCGCTTTTTCCGGGAGGAGAAGGTATTCGCTCTATGACAGCTGGCAGGACATGCTCGAGCCCCCGGCCCGTTTTAGCCGAAGTCAAAAGGGCCTCGTTCGGGTCGAGGTCGAAAATGGACTTTAGCTGCTCTTTCACGCGCTCTGGATCGGCTGTGGGCTGGTCTATTTTGTTTATGACGGGGATCACGGTTAGGTTTGCTTCGAAGGCGAGGTAGAAATTCGCGACGGTTTGTGCTTGCACGCCTTGGGCAGCATCGACTACGAGGAGGACACCTTGGCATGCGGCGAGGGATCTCGAGACTTCGTAGCTGAAATCTACGTGTCCGGGAGTGTCGATAAGGTTCAATAGGAAATTCGTGTCAGTACCATGGAAATTGTGGCGGTGGAACATGGTGGCCGTTTGGGCCTTGACGGTTATTCCCCGTTCTCTCTCCACCTACAACAGACAAAATTTTTCGAACCCTTTTCCGTTTAACTTCTCAAAATATATTCCCTCCTATTTTTATTATTTGTCGTTTTGAGAAGCAACACGCTAATTAAGATTTTTTTTCTTGCCAATAAATGGATGTTATGGAAAACGATGGAGATGGGATATGAAGAGGGTTAAAAATGGAAAAATATGAACAAAATAGCCAAAACAACATTTATTTAATCAATGATCAATTAAGCCAGAGTGACAAATAATAAAAATAGGAGGGAGTATAAAATTTGTAGTACTTCACTTTCGCAAGTTTAACTGATATGATTTTCATTGTCTCCAAAAGTAAGCTCTCTTTTGTTGCCACATGGCACAAATTATCCTATGTGGCATGGAAAATGCCAAAGAGCATCTCCAATTGTATATGAATTGGTCACATGACACAAATAAATCTATGTGGCATAAAAAAATCTAGAAGTCTTTGTAGAAGAAGAAGTACTTCTAAACAACTTTTATTACATATTATACTATATTATATTATTAATTCAATTTTTCTCTCTTCTTCAACCAATTATAATTTTACACATATCAAATAAAACCATCTTTAATATTAACCATTAGAGTCATAATTTAATAATCTCCTTCCTCCATGCCATGCAACACAAAATGGACAATATCCATTGGAGATGCTCTAAAAATCTTTTTAGATGTAGAAGTCATTCTAAACAACTTCTATTATGTATTACATTATTTAATTAATTTATCTCTCCTCTCCAACCAATTATAATTACAAATCACATATAATATCACAATTAACATTAACCAGTGGAGACATAATTTTCTAATTTCCTTTTTCCATGCCATAAATTCAATGTTCCATTGGAGATGCTCTAACCCAATAAAAACTTAAACGAAACCGCATTGCGTATTTCCCAGAGATAAAATAAAAATATGATAAATGAAAAACAGTTCCATTTTAATTCTAGAATTAGTACATAATGCTACCCAAATAATTTTCAAAAACACAATCAAGCTGAACACAGCATTGTTTGCGTACTATCATCACTTAAAGCATATACCCATCAACAAAATCTCATCTTCAATCCCAATGATAAACATGAAAAACAAAATTATTATCAGTCATTAAAAAAATAAAAATAAAAACACACCTGCAATTTGTCTAAATACTGCGGCTGCCCATGGCCTTTCCGAATGGTTCCTGTGAGCTCCAAAAGCCGGTCGGCGAGCGTCGATTTCCCATGGTCAACGTGCGCGATTATGGAAAAGTTGCGAATTTTATCCGATGGGTATTGGCTCAAATCAATGCTAGGATCTTCCCTAAAATGCGACGCGTAAAATGCGCATTGACTCCAGCTCAGGAATGGATTCAGATACGGCTTTCGATTGATGGAAAATGGACTGTGAAAAGCTCTCTGTGATCTTAGGGTTTTTGATGCTCTGTATAATGAAGACATCTTGTGGGGAGCTTACTAAGCAGTGGGGTTTAAATTAGGGTTTATGTTTGGCAATTTGGGTGAAACTTGTTTGCCGTGTACTTGCGACAACGTTTTATCAGACAAATGGAACAAGAAGTCGCTACTCTACTAATACCTGGCACAATAAAATATATTATATAATATAAAATTGGATTTTGAAAATTCTTTTTAGTTCTAAAACTTGAAAAAAAAAAGGTGTATAATAAATTAATAAAAGAATGTGCAACACAAAAAAAAAAATAAATAAATAAATAAAAAATAAAAAAATTGTCCTTTTAATTTGGCCAAATGCTATATTAAAATCTAATTTTTGTTCCGTTTGATATCAACTTTTATTATTGATAATAAAAGACATAATGCTTTAATTTTTGCAAATAATTTATTCAAAATTTTTATGGAGTCATCGGATAGTTTTCTTATGGAGTCATCCATCACTTAATGTATTGACACATGTCTAAATTGTATTTATTGGATGACGCATGTCAATACATTATTGGTGAATAAGTGTAGATGACTCCATAAGTCGAGTCATCCGATAACTCCATAGCGAAATTGATAGTTTAATATCAACTTTTAGTATTGATAATAAAATACATAATGCTTTAATTGCGAATTGATGCACGAATTCAACAAATGAATTGACATGATTTTTTTGTTAAAATTATCATCTCGAGTTTACATTTCAATTCATGTTTGTTTTCATTGACTGAATGATATATGTCTATGATTTTCATCCAACGGAATAAACGAAAAATGGAACATAATTTTCAAATATATATTTATTTATTTTTTTCAGATTGAGACATTAGTGGTTTAACAATAATGATTTAATGGAACACGAGTGAGTTTGTTGAAACTAATCAACCAAATTGGAAAGGATTGTGAAAAGGAAGGCTTTTGAAAGCAACCTCAGACTCAGTTGGCCCATGGGCCGAAGGCCCTACGACTTTTCGCGTACACCTGCCCCAAACTCAATCAATACTCAACACCATTTATTATATTTATTATTTTAATTTTTATTTCCTTTGGCCTTAATTTTTTCCCTCACATTAGGAAATTTTGACACTTTTTTTAGTAAATGATAGACATTTCAATAAAGAAAATAAAATTAAATTACAGCTAAACCAACTTAATCAACTAGCTAACCAAGTTGAATCTAGGAGGATTAAACACAAACAATAAACAAAACAACTCAAAAGCAACATTGATAGAGGAGACTAACACTCTTAAATAATATAATAACACCCCATCAAATGAGACTAACTAATAAAAAAACACTACAGCATAAACCAAAATACAAACACACACACACACACACAAAAAAGAAAAATACTAGTACAAAAAAAAAAACACTAGTAATAACATCTTTCGAACTGTTCGCCTATGATAACGCAACCATAAACTATAAATCTAAAAGCATCAATCTGAGATAGAGAGTACTGAAATTGAGGGCCAAGATTTGAAAACCTTGAAAACTCTCAATCAGGTAAGCATATCAATATAGTATGGACAATTACGTTCTATACCGGACTCTTCTGGCTCGACTTAAGTTGGGGTTTGTCAGGTTGATTGTGTTGTGCTAGAACAGAAGCGTTAAGTCGAGTTACCGACCGACGACCTAACAACCTACATGCCTTAAGATATGGTTAGCCAAGCTAATATAGTAGGGAAGTTGAACTATTCCACGAGGAGATTTTTGGGCACATAAAGTGAATGAGATATTATTGGGCAACAAGATAGTCTTGGCAATAAGATAAGACATCATTTGGCAACAAGGTATTCTTGGGCAACAAGTAATTATTTTCATATATAAGGACAGAGGTATGACAATAAAAAACTGTGGTTCCTTTTATTATTGATATTAATTACGTTTGTGCATCATCTTTCTATATGGAGAAAAAACTGATTTGATCATCAGAGAGTTTTTGTGTGGAACCCTTCCGTCTTTTCAATTATTTCGGTAAGCAAGTCAGACCGATTTGGAGATCCAAAGAAGACCATGACCTCAAACCAAAGTTATTTCATAAATCTCTATCAAATTGACATTGTTTGTAGGTTAAAAGTCATGATTTGAAAAATTTATATTTACACAAAGAAAGAGAGTTGTATTTGGCAAACTCCTGTGTGAAATAATCACATGATAAATGCATTAGGAGTTCACTCAAAATGATTTTGCACTGTCTAAAATTCGTAAGTGTACTGCCTAATTCTCTCTTTGTCGGTTTTACTACACGAGATAAAACTCAAACAATGAGAGGACATCAATGGCAAGATATCTCCTAAGGTAGACCGAGTTTGTATAAAAATTGATTTTTCTTCTAAAATTAATGGATAAGGCCCACAAAAATTGAATGTATGTTTACAAAATTATTTTTTTTCGTGGTCAATTTATTAAGTTACCGGATGCAACATTCCAACTAAATGGCCATGATAAGTTAATTGTGTTAGTAATAAAGCTTTTGCTCATTTTCTTAATAACATTTATCTTTGTGATCCAATGTTAACATGGTTATCTATAGCCCTCCATATTTGAAAAGGGATTGATTTGGTTAAAATATAAATGATTTCTTTTACTATCATATTTTTTTAAGCTAAAATCGAAAGTTAGAACTTTATTGTTCGAAAAATTATATATATTTATACATATTTTTATATACCTTACAGAGTTTATATCTATTTACTTTATTCTCACTAAAATTAACTGATGACCAAATTAATTTGAGGAAGTTTCGAGTAAATGTAAAGAAACTTAGTTAAATATAATTCTGAATATATATATAATTTTCAAAATAATTAATAAATATGTAGTATATTCAAAATTTTCAAAATAATTAATATGTAATATATTCAGTATAAATCTTTTAGTGGAGAAAAAAAATTCATTTTTGTTTTCAAAAAATCACTCTAATATATAGTATATAGATACTAATATATTTGTAAATTGTAGATTGGATATTTAGATTTGAAAAACTCTTTATCAATATACAAGAAATTATTGATTGGCATAAAGCTCGTGTCTCATTGTTTAACCAATCATTTTTGTTTTTTCTCTTCCAATCAAAGATAATCCTTATCAGCCATGAATTAGAAAAAAATAATAAAAAAATTACATTTTTGAAAATTTAAAATATCCGTGAGAAATTAATTTCACCCACCCTTTTTAAAATCTTACGCTGCCCCCATACGACGCCGTATACTGTCTATAGATATTTTTATTTCATTTTCAAAATTCGCAAGCCTACTCACCCACTTTACCAAAATCAGCTGAACAATTACGTACTCGTACACAGTGTGCGCATAATTTAATCTCTTCATACTCGGGAGCGTTAATGGAGTGAGTAGATCGAGTGAAAGAGGGGTCCCTTTTGGTTATCATGCTGTTTGGGAACTAACTTCACTAGGTACGGGCCTTTGATGAAGTTTTTTACTTTCAACTCAATCAATCTTTTCACTTGCAAATATTTATTTCATTTTTTTGCCCGCAGAGGCGCAGACCTTTATTTTCATGGTTTTTGCTCACATGGGTGTCCCATTTGGTTATAATTTGTGGGTTGTTTGAAGAAATCTGTAGCTTGGGGCTCAGAGCTTAAAAAGATTTTATTTTTTTTTTCTGGTAAGATATAGAAAATGTTAGATCTGAGCCACATTGTACCAAAATTCGTTCAGTTTTTGAGGTTTTAGCGCTTTGAATTTATACGCTTAGTTGTCGGTAGCTGCTGTTTCCTGTGGCTTTTGTTGCAGATCTTGCTGAGTTTTATAAAATGTTAACGGTTTTGGCTTCTAAAGGGTTTATGTCGTTCTTGGTTTTTTGGTCTAGCAATGAACAATAAATCTAGTTTTTAGACCTTGACGGTTGTAAATCTGATTTATATCTTCTGTTTTAAGCTAGTTTTTTTTCTTTTTTCTTTTTTTTTTGTAATCTTTATTTGAATACACTAAATGGGGATTATTGTGATTGTTTCCTTGTCAGTGCCTTTTAGTTGTTGGTGTGGGCTTTGTATTGATTTATGTATGTCCTCAATATCATGTTTTGTAAATTGTGTGTTTTTGTTTACTTCTTTTCAGTACTTTAGTAGGCTGGCCTTAGTTCTCAATAATGTTATTTGTTATATTATTTTGCATGATCATATGAAATCAGGGCCGAGTTTATTTGACATAACATATTCTACTTCTCTCGGATCTTCATTTTTTCTATCTTGATTTGTATTCCTCATTATATCACTTTGCTTAAGCATACTCTTTCATGTAAAAGTGCAGGCATTGTTAAATTTTGTTAAATTTAGCCAATTTCGTCTCTTGCACTGAATTGCCATGGGGAAATCGCCTGGAAAATGGATCAAGACTGTACTCTTTGGGAAGAAGCATTCTAATAAGTCTAATTTTTCTAAGGTAACCAACTCTTTGTCAATACGCGCTTTTTGCAGTGTTTACTAATATGTCCCTGTATAATTAATAATTTGCATTAATAACCTCTCTTGCATGTTGTTAGTTTAATCAATCCAAAGATTTTGGAAATTCTGCAGTAAATTGATTTTGATTCAACATAACTAATATGCCTTTTACAATTAACACCGTGTGCAAAGAATGTTACGCCCGACAAAAAGACAGCTGTCAAGACACCATTGGAGGACCTACCCGATCCTTACCAATTGTCTGATAGAGAAGTCAATAATACATTGGAACTCGAGAAAGAACCTTCTGCCTCTGCTATTGAAGCTATCTCTTCATCTCCAGCTAATCAAGATTTAGAGTCGAAAAACGAAAATGGATCGGCTATTGTCAGTGATACTGATAGGAATCAAGATTTAGCTGCAGCGAAAGTTCAGGCAGCTTTCAGGGGCTATTTGGTAATATTATTTGGCATTGCTTACTGATCACATTATTCATGTATCTGAGTGCTTGTTTACACATTTTCCTCGAATTTTTTTACATTCCGCCAAGGGAACTTTCAACTCTTTGTGCTGCAGGCTCGTCGTGCTTTTCGAGCTCTCAAGGGTATCATAAGGCTGCAAGCTCTTATTCGTGGACATCTGGTTAGAAGGCAAGCAGTTGCAACTTTGCGTTGCATGAATGGAATTGTTCGGTTTCAAGCACTCATTCATGGACGTAAGGTTAGACTCTCAGAATCTCGGCTTCAAGTGTAAAAGAAGTACCCTAATATTTTTATTATTATTATTATTTTTGTAATTCTAGTTAGTTTTATACTCTCTCGACTACTTATGCTAGCTTTTTATCTTTTGGTCGCTTTAGGTTGTGTTTGGTAAACATATAGGCTAGCTTATAGCCTATAGCTTATTTGATTAGTTTATAAGCTTCTTGTTTTCAAATAAGCTTGGTTTGGTAGGACGAGCTTTTTTAAAAAACTTGAGCTTATCTCATAAGCTTTCTTGGGTAGCTTTTCAAATAAGCTCATTGAAAATTTTATTTCAGCATCATATGAGCTGGCTTTTCAGCTATAAGTCATAATCTATAAGCTATAAGCTTAAAAATCAGTTATAAGCTATAAGCTAGCTTAGCTAAACATAGGCTTCGTGTTTTTAATTCTTCACAGTTGTGCTTGTCAATAATGTGTTATCGTTTATGTGCATTGTTAGGGTACTAAACAGGTCAGCATTGGCTCGAAATCCATTTTTGGGTCTGAAAAGCTCGCAACGAACACATTTGTTCGCAAGGTTAGACCTATTTTCACATCCTTACTCCAAAATCATCATCATCATTACATAACCACTTTTTACATATGACAAAAATTCATCATCATTATCGTCCTTAAATAAGAAGACTTATTTTTTAAGCCTTATTTCTTGCCCAGCTTCTCATCAAAATGCCAGCTGCTTTGCCTCTGAGCCTTCAATACGATTTATCCGAGCCTAATTCTTCCTGGAGCTGGCTCGAGCGCTGGTCCGTGACCCGTTTTTGGGACCCACCCGCACGTGTGGCAAAAAAGATCACCAAACCGAAGCCCAACAGAAAACAGCCCGGCCTGCAAATTTTCGAGCACGAAGCTGGAAAATCGAAACGTACCTTCCGGAAGGTTCCAGCTGCATCAAATGGGGAAAATGGTAAATTAGTAGCAAAAACGCCCCCACCTCCCGAGTCAGCTGAAGAGCAAGCCCAAAGTGAACTCGAGAGGGTTAAGCGTAACCTGAGGAAGGTATCCTCAGCTCAAGCGCCCGAAAAATCTGAACCGGAGACAGAAAAGCCGCCGCAGGGTGTGGAAATAGCAAAATCCTCCCCACCTGAACTGGAAATAGCAATTCCTCTCGAAAAAAACCCGGCTGATTCAGATGATTTGGTTGATAAAGCTGATTTTGCCGAAACCCTTTTGGAAAATGAACCAGTTGATGCCCCCCACGATGCTCAATCCGCTGAGAATGATGTGAACATTGAGAGTGCTCGAAATTTGGAAGATTATGAATCGAGCGTTAAGGAAGAAAAAAGCGAGAAAGACGGTCAGAAAGTGAAGAAAAGGAGATCGCTGCCAGCTAAGCAGGAGTTTTCTGAAAAAATCTCGGAAAAAAACTCTCCGAGCTTGCCAAGTTACATGGCGGCAACTAAATCTGCCAAGGCGAAGCTCAGAGGCCACGGCTCGTCTAAATTTGGAGAGGATGGAGCTGAATTTGGTAATAATAATGCACGAAGGCATTCACTCCCGGCATCCAACAATGGGAAAATTAGCACATTTTCGCCTAAGGTACAAAAGCCTGTGCAAGCTAATGGGAAAGGAGGCACTTCCTCTAGAGATGGTAATGAAATTAAATTTGCAATGCCTCTACATAATTTTATTTTATTTTTAATTCTTTCTGTACGTATACATTTTGTTGCCACTTATTCACTCTGTGACCTCACTAGTCAGTCAACTTGGGTGTTTGGTGGAGCATATAACAAGCTATTGAGAGGTTATATAAGCTCCTTGGTAGTATTTTGATTTTCTCCTTGCCCGAAAAGCTTATAAGATCCTTAAAGAGCTGTTGTTTAGAAAAAATAAATAAATAAATAAATAAATCCCCTATCTTCTTTGTGTGGCTTCCTTGTGTAGCTTTTCAAATAAGCTCGTTGACATTTTTTATTTTACCAAACACTTTTATCATATAAGCTACCTTTTCAGCCATAAGTCATAATCTATCAACTATAAGCTTGAAATTCACTTAAAAACTATAAATTAGCTTATCAACTAGGTTTATCAAATATAGTCTTACTAAGATGACGAGATTACCAAAGTGAAATATATATATATATATATATATATATATATATATTCTGTCATCATATTAATGCTCAAAAGACTTGCAAAAAATGCAAACTACTAACTTGTGTGTGAATGCATCACATTTGCAGACAAGGTGGTTCAACCTGGGTGGAGAAGATGAGAGTTTTCCCGATCTGCTCGTGAGCTGGCTGAGTCAAGTTTGATTTGGTACTTTGTTTCGACATGTTTTTTTAAGGAAAAACGAGAATGAGCATTTCATGTCATTGGTATCTTGGTGTGTGCTTTTCTTACTGGGGATTGTGTTTTTTTAGAATGTGCATAGAAGTTGGAAGAGTTTGAGCCGCTGCTAATTCAAAATTTACCTTATGTTCTTTTCTTATGGTTTGATGTGATGTTTATGGACAGTGTGAACTAATGGTATCTTGTTGCTTTTGTGTGCCTAGGCATAAAGTTCATTGTCATAGTTTTCCTATTTGTCACTTAATTAGAAGTAAACATTAAGGAGAGGAAATTAGGTTTCATTGATATAACACAAAATACTCTTGATTTTGAAAAGATTGGATGATTTAGCAAAAATTATGGTTATTTTTGAGTTAAACTCTATAGTAGCATTTTGGATTTTTGCTTCACTTTTCAATAACTATTGTGCTTCCTTGCAAAAGTTTATAGAGTTGATAAGTCATTACTATTAAGCCATATAATACAAAATCCCTTCAAATGAGAAAGTAGAAGTAATGAAGAGATAACCTTTCTTTGTTAAAAAAGCAGAATACCCTTTAGCCATAAACATAAATGTGAATGATCCATGGAAATTATGTAGACAGTTTTATCTTACAAGTTACAACAAGCAGCAAGATCATTTTCGCGTATTTATTACGAAAGAAAAAAAATCAAAAAATAGTTTTGAAAAAAAAAATAAAATGGAAAAAGGGCTTAAAAATTCTCTCCAGATTCAACTCCTCTGTTTTCTCTTGTGTTTATTCTCTGCCTCGGGCATTCGTGCTGCTTCGTATGATCATCTTCAACTAGTTTATGCATGGCCCAACACGTTTTGTTTGGACCGAAATGTGGCGTGCAAAAACCCGGTGCCTCAGAAGTTTGTTCTGCATGGACTTTGGCCATCTGATAAATCTGGCAAACCTTTAGCTTACTGTCATAAAACTGCAAACGTTTCTTGGGCAGTAAGTGTTTCTTCATTTCTTTATCTATTAATTTCATCGCCATCACGGGCAAAACGGAGATTTCGATATGGGCTTTCGAACATCAATGTAAATGAATTCGGATAACTTACAAAAAACTGAGGTTGTGTTTCGTAAGCATATAAACTAACTTATAGATTATTTGATTAACTTATAAAATTCCTGTACTCAAATAAATTTGGTTTGGCAGGACGTGCCTTTTTAAAAAACATGATCTTATCTAATAAGCTTCATTGGGTAACTTTTCAAATAAGTCCATTGAAATTTTTATTTTAGCTAGCTTATCAGCTAATTTTACCAAATATTTTTATCATATAAGCTAGCTTCTCAGCCATAAATCATAAGCTATCAATTATAAACTCAAAATTCACTTAAAAGCTATTGTTCATCTTATCAACTAAGTTTACCAAACATATCACAAGTTTTAACTTTTGAAGAAAGGAGAAAAGCTAGTAAATGATCATTTAATGTTGCTTTTATCTGTATGCATTGATAGCTTAGCAAGTACGAAAAACAATTGTCGAGTTCATGGCCGTCTCTCAGAAGGGACCTAACGAACATGAAATTCTGGCAATATCAATGGGAAAAACACAGGACCTGCGCACTATCGAGAATGAATGTGCTCGGTTATCTGCAGCTGATTATTACCACACAGCGCAATCTCGACCCATTAATGGCGCTTAGAGCTAACAACATTAAGCCCAATGGGTATCGTACCCCATGGAATCTGTCGAGGATGCCATAAGACGAGAGATTAAGGGTCGGAATTTTTACGTCTCATGCCAAGTTTTCAAAGGTGGCCCTTTTATTAAAGAAATCTATATATGTTTTGATGATATTGGGCAAAAAGTTATATCTTGTCCCATTACAGAGCTCCCAAGAGGATGTGGTAAGGGCAAGAATCTTGTTTTTCCTGCTGCTGTATCAAAAAATGTGAAAGAGTACTAAATACATTCATTAAATTGGGAAATTCACTATGACATAATTGAATATGATAAAAGAACATAT